AGAGAAACAGAGTATCTACTTAATTTCCAAGTGTTTTCCCCCCAAAAAGTTCAGTTACCTACAGCGGTAGCTTTAATACATGTTCGTAAATTCTAAGGCTCTCCTTCCTTAGCGACTAGCTTCTAATGAAAATAATGCAAAGGAAAGAAATACTACCTGGTAGCCACCACATTATCAAGTGATCAAGGTTAAAGTCAACCAGCAATGATATTATGTGCCCCAGGACGTGGTGAGAGAGCTAAACCACCTCTGTGGTATTTCCCCCAAAATCTATAACCTTAGTCTACCCAGCACCAAGTACACTCAAATGGAGATCAAGTGTCAAGGTCATTAAACACAAAGAAAATACAACAAACTGGCACAGATCAGAGGAGCAAAACCAAGGAGACTGGAGGACTAACTGCAATGTGCTATCTTGGACTGGATTATGAAACAGAAAAAAGGACATCAGTGGAAAAACTAAGGAAATACAAATAAGGTCAGTCCTTTAGTTAACAGGACTTTATCAATGTCAATTTCTTACTTTCGATAAATGCATCATGATTAGGTATGATGTTAAAAAGCAAGATGAGTGAAGGGTATACAAGACATGTCTGCATTGCAACTCTCCTGTAAATCTAAAATTCCCTCAAAAACAAGTTTCCCCAAGAGGAAAAAACTTAAGAATTGGGAAACTTAATTCACTAACTTTTCTTGGTTTTTAATATCCCTCCCCCAATCCAGCAATAAAACCCAGTCAACTAGATTTACAATTAAGCAAAAATCTGGCCTAAGATGAAAAAATACTTTTATAATACTTCGTCTATGAAATTCCTTAAACATGAATTTCCTATGCTTTAGATCTCATAAGGTATAGATGGATGTATGCCAGGAGTAAGCTTAAGATAGCTGATAAACATGGGGTATACTTGAGGCAGGTTAAAAAAAAAAAACCTAAAAAGGCAGGTGCCACTGATGCCTTCCAAGATTCTAAAAACTTGAAAATTTTTTGAATAAGGAAATGTATGTAGCACATATCTACTAGGTACACCACAAGCTTAACAAAATAGTTTAAGACAATTACTTGGGTTGCAGCGCTCTAGGTCTTATAAGCAAAAACATGAGAGCACCTAAAATGTGTGAAAGAACTTCAAAAATACATAAAGGGTTATACAAATAAGCAATGATGCTGCCACAAAGCCACTTAAGGATGACATTCCTACCAAGTCAAAGTGTGTCCCATGCAAGAAGCCAGTTTTTTCTATGAACCATCTCTAGTATTTGCTTTTTATTAATTATCTGAAATACATCAAACAGGCTAAACAGCTAAGCAATATGACATTAGAGACTGGCCAGTGGTCAGAAGTGGAAATCTATCACTTGATGTCATCTAAAGCCTTGATTTTATTTACAAAGGCCACGGCCTTCAAGGGAACTTTTAATTACTTTCTGCTTTGTAAAGCTCCCTCTTCCCACTTTTTTTTTAATTTTTTTTTCCTCTTCCCACTCTTCATGTGCAAATTTTTCCTAACTCTTCACCCTTTTCACCTAATCATTAGGTTTGCAATTAAGTTTTCCCAATCAAAGCCAGATGGCATGACTAAGCATACTAAAAAAGTAAACAGAATGCTGATTTTTGAGATTTAAAAACATAAATGCAGTTGTTCACCACAGAGTGATCACCAACTACAAGTGACTACAGTTGCTAAACCTCAATAACTCCATGGCTGGAAGGACAGTATTGTACTAAATGTCCCATAGCTGTTAAAAAACAGCTAGCTAGTTAAAAAACTGACTAGCCAGAGGTGGGGGAAAAAAGCTTTTCTTACCTACCTACTTTAACAATCATCTTCCTTTTTAAAATCAGTAAACCTTGCCAAGGCAGTCTTAAAGCACACTTAAATGAATACACAGTGCATACTTGAATTTTGAAATATTTTAAAAAACAAATCTAACTGCAAAATGTTGAAAGATCAGGTGAGTAATGTTATAAACTGGCAAAAAGAAAAATAGGTTTAGGTCACACAAGCAGGCTTTACACCAAATTTCATCTTTTAACACTGTCCCATCCATCTTAAGTATATATCAGTTCACAAACCTATAAAAATTTAAAACTAACCTCTGCCCTTTGCTTTCTAGGCAAAGTACTAAAACAAATTATTAAAAATGTAAATTACCAAAACCTGCTGCGAAGTAGGTCACCAAGAAACATTATCAAATCTAATGTTCCCTTAACAGACTGTCAGCTGAGAACAGCAAACTTGAGTTAAATAAAAGAACAAAGAACTACCTACTTTTCTACCACTTAGAAGAGGTACAAAAGCTTACACTCAAAGGATTTAACAACAAAAGTAATCTCTAGTTTGGATGGGAGACTGGAAGGCAGACAAGTCTGATACTATCACAATTTGCTTCAATTAATTTGCTCCAGATAAATGAAAGCACAAGTCATCAACCAGGCTACCAATCTGCAAAATACATTTTCATATTCCTACCCAACTGGAACCCATTTGCCTCAAGTCAAGAAATTTTTTAAAATATCTAAAGAGGAAACTAGCAAAAATTTCCCTCTAATGCACAAACTTTCATTGTGATATTTACCTCAAGTAACAATTAGTGGACTCAAATGAACAGTTTAAATGTTGGTCATTAGTGTTTCAACGTTTGATAACTTAAAATGTTACTAGTTAACTGGTATCTAAATGCAGGTAACTGTAATGGTTACAAGAAGGCAGGTTCCGGAACTTCCCTGGTGGTCCAGTGGTTAGGACTCCAAGATCCCAATGCAGGGGGCCCAGGTTGACTACCTGGCCAGGGAACTAGATCCCACATGCCTCAACCAAGACCCAGCACAGGCAAATTTTTTTTTTTAATATATAAATTTTTTAAAAAAGAAGGTAAGTTTCAAAGAAAACAATGTTCTACTCCAAGCTATCTGCCATTCACGAAAACACCAACAAAGGTTAGGAGCCTATTCATAAGATATTTTGATTCTGTCTTTAGTGCTACTTTCGGTTAAGAAATAAGGAAATTACTGGGTAAATGTTAACACAAAAGTGTTTCCAAGCTTTTTAATTTACTTATAAAGATGTAAATCATGTGTTCCCTCTAGCAGCAAAATAAGGGCTTCCCTGGTGGTTCAGACAGTAAAGAATCTGTCTGAATGCAGGAGACCTGGGTTCGATCCTTGGGTTGGGAAGATCCCCTGGAGAAGGGAACGGCTACCAACCCAATTTTCTGGCCTGGAGAATTCCATGGACAGAAGAACCTGGCAGGCTACAGTCCATGGGGTCGCAAAGAGTCGGACATGACTGAGCGACTTTCACTTCACTTAGCAGCAAAAAAAGTTCTTATATAAAGGTCAATTCTAAAAAGTGTCTGCACACACGAAACAGATTTTAAAAAGAGAAAGAAAAAGGTTGACCATTATTTCGATCAAAATTAATTCGGAAGAGTTAGCTCCAAAACTCATTGCAGCTTTAGCTCAAGTAGAGACATTTGTGATGCCAAGTAATGATTCATACCTGAATATTTATTATTTCATTAAGCCAAGGAATAAACTAGCTTTAAAAAATCTCAAATGTAACTCTAACAGAAAAATTTACACTCAAAAGTTTTTGAAGGTGTCTTCTACCTTTGCATATAACAGGAGCATATACAGAATACCAAATAAACGTATGAAGACAAAAGCTTTTCATCCATAGAAGTTTCCAACTGCCAGAAGGGTAAGATTCCCAACACCTCAATCACCCCTCATTCATACAGCTTAGGCTCCACAGAGGGTCAAGCCTGTGGGCACCAAGCTTTCCACTCAGGCCAGACCTGAACCTCATTGCTCTGAAACCTCATTTTTTTCAACTACATAAAACGAGGAAGTTAATCTTGTGGAAGGGCTTTCTCAAAACCTTGCTCCAATTAAAAAATGGAGGGAAAAAAAGATTCACGATCTAATATCAGAACCTAACTTCCTGCTGGCGGTAACTTCCCATCAACAGGCTGTAAGGATCGAATCCGAGGAGGAACACTGTTCAGGATCACCTGGACGTATAGATTTTATTCTACACTTTCCCCAGAAGCTTTTAGGGCAGCAAACCTGTAGGAAGATGTGCAGAAAGGAACCCTTTCTTACCCTTTGTCATAATCCCACGGCCAACCCTCTTCTCCCTGGAAGCCCGCAAGTGGCCCAAGTACAAACAAATGCCTCTGCAGTCGGTCTTCCGAGGCTGCGGTTGTCCCCAGGGACTAGAGAGAGCTCTGGGGGCAAAGATGCCCTGGGCCGCACAGAGCGCTGGAACAAAGAATGAAGCGGGTTCGGGGACTAGGAGTCAGGAGGCCTGGATTCAAACAAATACCTGCCCCTTATGGCCTGTGTGCCTCTGACCGTGTCACTCCACCTCTGGGCCTTCGAGTCGGCTGTAAAAATAGGAAAATCACCGTACCTACCTCATTGGGGCGTTTCAGGAATAAAAGAGAAACACACAAGTTGCTCCGCACAGTGCCTGGCACATAGTGAGGGCTTAGAAAAATGTTAGTTATTATCATCACTCAATACTCATGAACTCGCTGCCCACCCTTTACTCCCTGTAAAGAAAATCGAAAACCTAGGAGCAGCATTTCGGCTTCCAGTGTCGAGAAATTCTCACCTCACTTTCGTGCCTCACCTCCCCCTCCCCTCCCCCTCACCCCACCACCATCAAAGAAAAGCCTCCTCTGGTCTAGGTTAAGCTGGAGCCCCCACCAAAGGAGGAAGGCCTCGGCTGGCGCGCGGGGAAAGCGAGCGGGAAAAGCTGAGGAGCCGGCCGCGCGGGGCCCCAGGCCCCCGAGATCACCCTGGGGCCCGGGCGGCGGCCGCGGCTCGCTCTCGCCCCGCGTGGCCGTTGGGCGAGGCACGCGCACTCGGCGGACGCGGACACGGCCACGCGCGCCGGGCCGGTGGGGGCGGGGGGCGGAGAGTCGCCGCGCGCCCGTGCGCCCGCCGCGCGCGCCTGCGGCCGTTGGGGCGGGAGGAGGGGGGTGACGGTGGGCGCGCCTGGCGCGGTCGCCGTTCGGACTTCTCCTCCCTCCCATCAGAGCCCCAGTTAGTCCTCGTCCTGGGGCCGCCCAGCCCCGCCCATGCTCCAGCTTACCTGCGCGGCTGAGCGGGAGAGGAACAAGCTCTGCTCCACGGCACGACAGAAGGTAAAAAAAACCCCTCACGCAACTGCGTCCGCACACACGCGTGCTCCGTCGCCGGGCTATATAACGGTGACACAGCCTAACTTGTTGCGGCCAGGTCGGCCAGGCTGGTGGCCAATCCCGACTGCGTCCTCTGGGCTTTTCGAGCAGCAATTGGGTACTGACTCAGGATGAAGGCGTGGCTCTTGATTGGCTTTAACTCATGCCTATGAAACTGTGAAGAGCTCGTTTCCCTAGTAACGAATTGGCACTGATAGAGGCCAATAAGTGAAGGGTACGGTGGGAAGGAGGGCGGGAACTTCTTTGATCGATGTCTACGGTAGCCAATAAATGCGTGGGACCGCTCCCATTCGTTAAAATGTCTTCCCCTGGGCGGAGATCAGTTCTCCCTGCAGGAGCGGTTGCTCCACAAGGTGGGGCCCGTGTACTTTGGGGAAGTAAACCCCAAGCAACTAGGAGGTGGGCGCCAGGATGGCCAAGGAAGCCCCGGGCCAATCGCAGCGCGGGAAGGAGCTGATTGACGCGGGGGTTGGACAGCACCAAGGAGACCGAGCCCCGGGCCGCCGTGCCCTCTGGGGCGGTACTGAGGTTCTGCCGGTCCCTGCTTCTGTCTCCTTTTTCCTTTCCTTTCTTCACTCCTGGGGTGCGATCCCGGAGACCCCTGATCCCACCTTTCCCGCAGTTTGGTACCAGGGGAACCTGGTGATAAAGTTTCCCGTTGTTTGGTTGCTGTGTTTCTTTCTTTATACCAACTTTATTTCCATGTGGCCGCCAAAGGGCACTTGGTGGCTTCCACCATTAGTCAGCACTATTGGACAACTATTCAGGGAAACCAAAGGGGAAAGTAACTCCCATTGTGTACCTACGATCCTGTAAAAAAGAAAAAGAAAAAAAAAAAGTCTCACGTGAAGAGCATTGAGTTTAAAGACATATATTTCTACCCCGCTGTTCTCGGCAAGTGGTGCTGCTGGTCATCTCGTGCACGTCCACCCAGAAACGGGAGTTTGTAAATTCTCCTAACGGCTTGGGCCTTCCTGCAACATCCTGGGCGCCACCACCATTGTCATTCAGATTTCCACTGCTGTGGCTGTGGAGGTTTATTTCTTCGGGTCGTTACGTCTTGACAAGGTGGCTGACTTGTCAAACTCCTTCGTGAACACCCCGAAGCTTTCGCGAAACACTTCAAGCGCTAAGTGGTGCTCCAGACTGGTCCTGTCCACGTCTCTTACTGTTTTGGGGGGCCCTCTATTAGTCACCATGGGGGGTTTTATAGGGAAACACAGGGTCACGCCTCGGTCCCGTTCTCCTTCCAGGCATGCGACCCTGCAGTAGGGGCTCACTTTAAGTTTTGCAAATTTGGGAATGAAACACGTGGAGCCTCTCGTTGGAGACAAGGGGGCGCGGACAGCAGCTGGTGGAGTCGGAGGTGCGGCCCCAGGAGCGAAGCGGGAGCATCCCTTTGGCTCCCTAAGCCCCATCCAGCATCGACTTGGCTCATTCAGCATTTATTGGGCTCCAGGGGCTGGGATCAGAGACGATCGAGACTCTGTCCCTGCTCGCTGTCATCCATTCAACAAGCCCGGACGCCGCGCCGATAGCTCCCAAAACTGGGGAACGGGTGTCTGGGGCTCTGGAGGCACCTGAAGGGACTCGGCTCAGGCAGAAGCAGCTAAAGGTTTTCTGGAGTAAGGAACCTACAGGATCGTGTTAACCTTGCTAAGAAATTTGAGCTTTATTCTGAGGGCGGTGAAGAGCCCCCAAAAGGTTTCTTAAAAGGATGGACTAAGAATTTTGCATTTTACAAGACAACTTTCCAAACTGAAAAGCTAATGAGAGCTGGTTGGCAACCCTTGAAATTCAGATTGGTAATTTAACCCAGTTGGCCTGAGATGAGGGGGTCCTGGCTATTCTTGATAACATTTGGAGAGAATTTTAAGTGATACAGACAGTTCTTTTTGTAGAACTTTTGGCAGTCTGTTAAAATTGTGTATATTTCCCTTCTTGCTTGATAGCCATGTACTAGGTGTTTGTTACAGCACTGTCCACTTTATTATGATATTTAAAAACTGAAAACATAACTACTCATGAATTTGCAAACTGACTAACTGGTAATATATCCATAATATAGACTACTGTACAGCAGTTTAAAAGAGACTGAGAAAAAAACAGAGGAGAATGAGGTCAAACTATACTGATATGAGCTGATCTCCAGTTGTTAATTGGATTAACTGACAAAAATCAAGTTGAACAAAATATACAAAGAGTTCCAATTTATGTTAAAAATGAAAGACCAGAACTCTTGATTTCTGTATGTTAAAATAGGTATGTAAGTGTGGAGGAGGGGCAGGGGGGACTTAAATTTAAAACAAGTCATTCCCCTAGGTTTGGGAGTGGCAAGGATGTTACTTGAAAGTGTTACAATGATACTGTTTTCCACTATGGTTTTGTCTAATATGTCTGTAGGAAGAAAGGAAGGGGAAATAGATTACCAGAGAGAGAATGTGGACAAGACCCCTCAGGTGGCTGTGACTGTCTTCCACAGGAGAGGGCAAGCTGGCATCCTCCTATGGTCGTTTCTGTACTAGAATCATAAACCCTCGGGAGGCAGATGCTGGATACTTAGTAAATGTTCAGTGACTAATTTACTTCCATGGAAGTGTCTGGAGTGCTGGTTCTCAAGATGGGGGAGATTTGCCCTCAGGAGACATACCATCTTTTCACAACTAGGAGAGGGGCTACTGGCATCTAACAGATGGAAGCCAGGGAAGCCCAGGAGAGCCCCCTGATGAAGAGGGCCACATTAATAGTGCCGGGTGAGAAGCCCTAATCTAATCATCTAAGGGAGAGTACCCACCCTCCTCCTAGTCTTTCCACTGGTAAGCAAATTGTGCAAACCCCTCAGAACATGACTTCACCCTTTTTTTTCTGCCAGTTCTCCCCAAAGCTCTGAGACTCGGGGTGGAAAGCAAACATCGAGATCCTATGGGACTCTTCAGGTACATTTCATTTCTATGGCCTGTTATCTTCTGGGGGGAAAAGACTTCAGCCTCCTTGACCCTCCTTGAGTTCCAAAGGGCTGGTTCAAATTGTTGCTAGTCAGGGAAGGGAGGAGATGCAGAGACAAAGGAGGAGCAGTCAAGCAAGTGCAGCCTTGGGGTAGGGTCCTGGTTCCTCCTTAAGAAATATGCATAACAATATCTTTTGAGTTCTGCAGGAACTAAGGCCCCCACCCTGGAGGAGGATGCTAACTTAAGGCTGAGAGTCTTGATCCCTAGAACCATCCCATTATCTCACCACCAACCAATCAAAAGAAAGTCAGAGGGGGGAAGGGCACAACTTTTGAAAGAGTGACAGAGCCCAAAGACATAACACAAACCAATTAGAATCAAATGGGACCAAGATGGCCGTCAAGACTAGACCTTGATCCTCAATCAGCAAATGAAATGACACACCCAGAGGCACCTTGACAGTTCAAAAGACCTAGGAGTGGGCAAGGCCCAACTCCTGAAAATCTCCACTCTTCTCCAAAATAGATGGAATAATCCTCCCACTCATTAGCATATGAAATTACCCAGCCTATAAAAACTATTTATAAAAACACACTTCAAGCCCATACTCCCCCCTACAATGGCCCACACTGTGGAATGTGCTTCTCTCTGAATCGGAATAAATCTACTTCTTACCTCTCACTTTATCTCTCACTGAATTTTTTCTGCAATGAGACTTCAAGAACCTGAGCTTCATTACATCCTAATACCAGGTACCATGGGTTTTGGCTGGGTTCAGGTCCCCAGCTGAGGTAAAGTTTTACCCTCACCCCAAATTTTGCCAGCAAAAACCTCACACTGAAAACAGGGAGTCTGGGGGTTTTTTAACCTGAGTCACCTATTCCCCATGCATGGCCCTCCAATAAACCTTTCTCTGCTCCGAACTCCCAACATTTCAGATTGTTTAGCATCACTGTGCATCTGGCACATGAACTTCTGTTTATTAATAGTAACAGAAAGATGCATGGGCAAGACCCCAGAAAACACAGTTTTGTGGAAAGAATGGAAGGGTGGTTGGTGTATTAGGTAAGGAATGGTAAGGAATGCTCCTAAGAATATCATCAGAATCAGTATGTCCAAGACTTGTGGTCCAGTGGCTATGGCTCTGAGCTCCCAATGCAGGGGGCCTGGGTTTGATTCCTGGTCACAGAACTAGATCCCACGTGCCACAGCTAAAGATCTGCAGGCCACACTAAAGATCCTGCATGTCACAACAAAGACTGAAGTGTATTGCAACTAATACCTGGTGCAATGTTTTTTTAAAAACTTGAATCAGCATTTCCCAAATATAGCTAATTACTCAGAAATGGTGATTAACTACTTACAGTAGAAACAGGAAATAACCTAAATATGGAACTATATGAGACTAGGTGGATAAAACACAACCATATGATGCACTCTTACAGTGGACTGTCAAACAACCATAGAGAAAATGAAGCAGATCTATGTATATGGTTATAAAGATCTCCAAGAGATGTAAGTGAAGACAGGAAGCAAGGGGGCGGGGGGAGGGGACCATTATTAATAGGACACTTATTTCTATTAAGATATTCTGTATTGCTATAGTTGTCCATGCACAATCCTGTATGGTTTTGCTGTACATGCACAGGTAATATCTTGAAGGTGCAGTCATAAGAAACTGTTAATGATTGCTAACAGGGAGATGAAATTGGGCCAGGGTGGGAGAAAGGCTTAGTTTTCATTCATTCAAAGTACCCTTTATAATACTGGAGTGGGAATTACGAGAAAGATTTATATAGATAACACCAGGCTATGGTAATTTAGGTTTAAAGTCTCCTCTGTGTTGGAAACAATTAAATCATACTAAGGATAATCAGTCTAATAACACTAAAAAACTGGGTTATGTGCCTTATAGACGGTGGTGCGAATGTATAATTTCCCTAAAAGATAAAGATTCATACAGAGTAGAGTAAGTCAGACCACCTGGGATATACTGGGCTACATCTAATGGAAGCTCTTAACTTAAGTCTTACTTGTGACTTTACTAATACTGCTGGCTATGTTCTCTATATTTCACCTGTTTTACAAAACTGCTGTTTCTTACACTGCCAAATGCGTAACTGAGGGCTCCGATAAAATAATATATAGTTCCCTATGAGATCAATGATGATAACAGTGTAACTCTAGATATGAGAAAAAGCAACAAGAGGGAATGTTTTCCTGGACCAACAGGCTAGTAAGACAGGTGGTCCAGAGAATTTTGGATATTGTTTTATGGCCTAGTCCAGTAACAGCACATTGAGTGGCCTGTCAACAAATCTTTACCAAACCTGAGAATGGACATTCTCAGCACCATGGGATAAAATGGTCATGAAATGCCTCCCTCAAAATCATGGTCAAGTTTGTGAGCAAAAAGGGGCCCTGCCAACTGAAGATTGACACTT